CATAATGTTTTTAGTATCACAAAACTATCAAACAAAAATGAATCTGATTTTACTAATTAGTAAAGGAAGTTCAGTATGTATAATTTATCTTCTAAAGCAAGATGAAGTGCTGGTGGGGTAGATGGCAGTGCAGTTCAGGAAGGGATAACTTACTCAGGTAGTCTTAACAGTGAACACTCTGCCAAATTTAATTTCCCTAATAGGATATGATTAATATAATTCTAATTTATTTCCAAAATATTAAAACCTACTTTCAGATTCCATAGCTTTTTTAGTTATGCTAAAGATTAAGACTTATGGTTTCTGGAATTTGGAAGTCAAACTTCAGTGATATTCTGCTGAGGATTAGAGGTTTGTGAAAAGATCTAAGTAATTCCCATTGCTGCAGTATAGGCAAGTAATGATTCAGAAAACTGGTAACTGAGACATTTCCAGGCCATGATTTCAAACATGTTCCAAGATGGTGGTAAAAGAAGTGGTGGTATTGATAATACTTAGACACAACATGCACAAAATTATACTGACACAATGTCAGTTGGAAACCTATTACCCCTTCAAAGAGACAAATCTTATTTATTATAGTTTTTATATTTTGTTTTGAAATATTTCATTTAATAATTTGGTAAAATAGAAACAATAATTATACTTGTTTTTGAGAAGACTTGTAATGACCCTTTAGGTAAAACAAAAAGGTACTTTTTCTTTAGTTTTCTTGTCTGCTGCTACTATGACATTATTAGAGTAGTTTCTGTTCTAAAATTTTATATGTAATATGAATTTTCTGCCTAATTATGATTTTTCCCTTTTTGTTTTCTCCTTGTCCTTACCTTTAGAAAGAACTTCCTACAATCTGTACATCTAAGTGTAAAAGTCTGTTGCTCCATAAAATCAGTAAACTAATTCTTCTATAATTCTTATCAAGAAGGGAGAAACTACTTCACACACATACCAATATTATGTTTCCTTGAAATTCTTTTTACGAGACATTCAAGTGATTATATATGAATAGAGATGATGATTAGCTAGAAATTGATTCTATTTACATTTCCAAAGTAATAAATTTCATTCATTGAACTTGCTTAATGTATAGTACAAATCTAGAAAAGATTACACTCTTGTGCTCTCTTTACCTAAGGTAGATAATTATTTCATAATGAATATCATAATTTGCTAACCATACACTACTCTGGTTAGTAATAAAAACCTAATGAGCTGGCATTCTTGTAAGTCATCCTATTAACAGTTACCAATTTTGTAGAAAAATAACTTAGACCTCCACGTGAATGTACTCTACTAAAGAAAAGAGGTCATGCATTTCAATCCAAATAATGGGTGTGTAAGCTGAGAGTTGCATGAACCATTTCATCATATTTATGTATTGTATAGCCAACATGTTTATGTATTGTATAGCCAACATGTTAATTAAAGGCCGAGTATGTTGTCATATGGCAAGAAGCTCTAAGAAACTCAAGTGGGAGCCTCAGCACTTTATTCCGAAAAAAGAATACTCAGTTAATTGTAATTCCTTTGTTCTATTTTCCATATCAGTGTGAATTACTATCATGGATGAAAGGCTAGAGCAATCCTAAGAGGCAGAACTGGGATCAAATGATCAGTTTGATGTTAAGTACAAGAACAACAAAAAAATAAGAAGCAAGAGAAAATTTGGACACCTAAGTTGCTATACATTTTATGGAGACAAAATTCACTTAAAAGAAACAAATAAACCTGCCCAGTACAGTCTGTCCTCCACCTACTGGTATAGTGAAATAGGTTTATTCTCTTGGGGCATCTCTAAGTAACAAAAATCAATGTAAACCATTGAAAGTTATCCGTAAAACTGACGCTTAGCATAGTCGTGCATATTATAAATTTTAAATCAAATGGTTTTCTTAACATGTTTTATAGTATATATTTGCTATTACAGGAATTAGACTAGAAAGCATAAGTCATATTTTAATAACTACACTTAAAAAAAAGTGTGATTAAAAACAAATGTCTTAGCTGCAGAATGTCTTAGGTCAGAATAGCTTAAATGCTTCAAAAATGTGGGAAGGGATAACATCCTCATTAAATAAAACCAATCTGGTGAGTTGATAAATGATTAATAACTGATAAACAACTCAGAACAAAGCTTCAGAAATGGCTTGATGAAGCAGGTAAGACTGACAGACTTACTCTGAAGCTGAGGCTGCTGGAAGGAAAGGGGCTGTCCGAACACAAATGGGCTGTGGACTAGGGAAGTGGGAGGTTTTGCAGCTTGATCAAAGATGGAAGGAGCTGGGAGATTGGGCCGTGATTGAATTGAATTCAATATGGCACTCAGTTGGTCACCTGCAGTGGGTAAAACAGTCAAAACTACAACTTGTTATTAATTAACATCCAAAATGGCAAAGTAAATGGTGCTTTACGACATTCAGATAAAGTTAAACGACTAAAAACTATGCCAATTCAGAAATGCGTGGAAGTTGATGATCATTATCCTCAAATTAGGGACCAAATGTTTCATGTTGTTTTAACGGAAGCACCCCACCAAATCTTATGTAACAGCCCAAATCCATCTGAATTCATATACAACATCTAGCAGCAGCATGGGAGAATGGAAACTCTGAAGAGTCTATGAAACGTTGATACAATATCATACAAGAATAAATGAAGATCTAAGTAAACGATATCTTGTACATAGTACCTGACCATGACTAATGTCACCCTGCCTCATATGCAATACACTTCATGCAGAAAATCAGCAAATAATATGAGCGTTTTTTTTAAATGTAGGATTCAAGGGAGGTAAAATGTTTTTAACTTAGTAATATATTTACATTACAGTTATAATTTTTTTCTTTTTAAAGTTGTTACTGCCAAAGAAATTATACATTTTTAAAAGCATGAACTCTTTTGCTTGAATGTATAATATAAATGTCTATGAGACATATAGATAAAAAAGAATATAAACTACCTAATTTAAGTAGTATCTCAAATATGAATTCTGACATTTTTCCTTAAAATTAAATACAAAAGATATTAACAGAAAAATATTTTTAACGATAATTGAATGGATGATCACTCCTCATTAATGCAAATATACATATATATATATATATATATATATATATATATATTAGTTTAAATGACGCTAAGGAAGAGGAAAATAAAAACATATCCAGACATATGCAGAAACTGGAAAACAGTACCTTTCCAGCCATATTCCCTAAATATAACAAAGTTCCATAAATTTTCAAAAGAGGCACCAATAGGGTATAGACTTATATGGAAAGAACTGTGCACACAAGCCACACGTCTTTACTTTAAAAAAAATTAACCCTGTAGGTTACAGAGAGGATTTTGGCAATTATGGAAAATTTTATAAAATTGTTTGAAAGAAAAAGAATTTTTGCAAAAAATAATTTCTTGATCTTGGATAGTATAAAGAGTTAAAGAAAATGGGAACTATTGTTAAAGGTAACATTAAATTGTTAATAAAGGTTAAATACATTTAATCAGATTAAGATTTCTAATTTCTTTGCTTTATCTAAATATTCTAAGTCTATTAGTAAGTACATGCTATTTTTGACCAACAGTAGCAAAACCACACTTTTAAGAAGTAATACATTATTATTTCTCTATAATACACGTTGTCAGCAATGTTTGCATCTCTTGAAAGTTGATGTTTATGATGTTTTAATAAATTATATTTTAAAGACTGATTTAAAGTGATAGCCACCAGTACAATTCAGACATTTCAGAGACTGAAAGCATACAATCTGAATTAAACATGGTCGAAAACAGATTACTATAAAAGTATACTAGTGGTAAGTAAACACTGAGGTTTTAAGGATTGACAATGGTAGAGGGAAAGGGACATGAAGAAAATGCCACCAAGAATTTATCCTACTTAAGTAGGACAATCTAGCTTTAGCTGAAATCTGAGCTACTAGAAGCGAGAGAGCACATATATAGTACCCAAACCTGCAGAACAGACCAACACAACAGAGAGGGAAAGCCCAACAGAAATCTGTGGCTAGGTTTCCTTCATAAAAATACTTTGTGGTAAGTAATAAAGATATCAAACAGGAAGTAGTTTTATTTTAAATTGAATATTTCCTCTATATTGATGTAAATTTGTATTTTGTAGACTATTTCATTATTTCCCTTACTCTGCAAGTCACATATAATGAACTGTATTTATTTCTTGAAATCCAATCCTGTGAATTAGTTTAAATAACACTTTAAAGTAAGACTATTTGCATGTAGGCTGTCTTCTCCTTTTTACCCATCATCCAACTGTATGCCACCTGCTGACAATATGGCTGATTTTCATGATCAGAACATGAATGTGTCTGAATTTACCCACAAATGAAATTTTGGATGAAATTCAGGTATCAATTATTTCAAAATAACTAATGTTTGGACTTTCCATGATGTTGCTCTCTTCCATTAATGCAGCCAAAAAAGTTGTATACATTTTATATCAATATGATTTAGGTTTTTATTTTTGTTTTTACAAACTCCTCACTTCTTTATACATACCAAAACCATACATATCATGTCATGTAATTCTAAATTAAGATAAACCCAGTTAGACATAAAAAGCACACAAATAAAGCTCATGTGTGATTTTACCTAAAAATATTATTAAATATTTTGTATTTAAATGGATCATTCTGGAAAGTTCTCTTTTGTTCATTAACATTACTCACAAAATAATAAGATGATACAAAAAAGTTCTTTTACTAGATATAGTGACACAAAGTCTTTATGATGTGACTTCAAAATGTGTCTTTAAAATAGAAACAAATAAGCAAGAACTCCTATAAGTTTAAAGTAAAACTGGTAAAAATAATAATATAAAAAGAACACCTTCACAAATATTTTGATTGTTAGTTTTCAAGGAACAAACTCTAACAAAGTTTTGTGGTAAACAGTAATAAAAATAGGTAGAAGAGAAGGTAATAAAAATATTAAAGTTAGGAAGCAAAAGGTTACTTTTAAACACCTACCTTTATTATTTCCAAGTCCATAATCAAATCCTTGGGCACTGCAACTTGCTCCTTTATTAAAAGCTTGTACTGAGAAAGGGCTTGGAGGAGGAGTTTGAGAATTTTGATCCAGAAGAACTTGTTCTACAATAAAAGGCACAGCTATACAATCAGTTTCTTATGTGCTATTATTCCCTATTCATAGAATAAAGAGGAAATTAGGAAGATTTTATGATGGTCAGACTTTAAAATAACCTCACATTTAGATTTGATAAGTTTACTAATTAGGTCCTGACACTGACAAAATATACGACAAATCTTTGTTTTCATTTATCAAATATACAGTTAAATTTGGAAATGCTATATGCTCCTATGGAGCCAATTTACTTTTGTTGTGGCAGGGTATATCACTCAATGTAGACTAATATTTCTGGCCCAGGAACTCATATTTGTAACAGATTTTATACAAGGGCATTTTATAAAACAAAAATGGATACAATACAAACCAAATAACAAAATATTTTGTATATTAGTATTCAAGGAAAAAAGTCTTCAAAATGTTTAAGTATGTGGTATCAAAGGAAATTTCGACTTGTAAAATATTTTAAGTTCTGAATGTGATATTATGGAAAATTTAACTTTTAACTTACTTTTACTTATTATATTTTACCTAAATAAAAAAAAAAAAAAGATAAACCAGGTCATGTAATCAGGGCTATTAACATATCCTGAAGTAACAAATGTATCAGAATTCTTATTTCAAGAAGGAAATGGCCAATATTTTATCTAGTTTACAAATGGCCAGAATGCAACATATTAATTGGTACTCTGTTACTGCCAAACTAACAATCAAGTAGCTATAAGATTCTATCTGACATAATACTATAAACACGAATACCATGATAAAAGAGTCATATTAATGCCAGCTAAAAAAGGCAAAATAAAATAAGCTAAATGTAAGGTAAAAAGGAGAAAAAAGTACTTATTCCTTTAAAATGACATTATGAAAATGAAGTTTCAAATATATTTTTTAAAAGCCAATATACCTTTAAACAGAAAAAAATAACTAGAAGAACTTGGTGGAGTGTTTTCTTCCACCTGAAAATCAGAATTCTGCTGTTCCAGTATTACTGTACAGTCTAACCCTTTACAAGCATTTCTAGACTTTTTTCAATAAACCAATCATAGCACTTCCCTTAGGCAATGCTCTTCAGCATAAGATATTTCAGCAGTGGAATATTTCTTCTGGAAAAGACGCATGAGCAGTCAGTCATGTGAACAGAAAAGACAGCATCACTCTCACCCTCTAGACTCAGAATGGTCTAGCACCCAAAGTGCAGCCTGTTTTGACCATAGCAGTAACTTTGCTTACTAGCTTTACCTACAGATATCAAAGGCCAATGAAGAATTTTTATACAAAGGAAAGCTTTTGGTTTACTTATACTACTATATATGAATGAATTACTATAGTGCCAAATCCTCATATTTTGATATTAAATACAGTTACATACTAATACCAATGAGCAGACTATTTGGATACTACATTGACTAATCTTAAATGGTTTCAAGGCACTAATTAATCATTTATTTCCCTATCACTCTAGGTTTTGTTTAAAACAATTAAGACATTATTATGACTGTGTGTGTGTGTGTGTGTATGTATGTGTGTGTGTGTGTGTGTGTGTATTTGTATACAATGAAAACGTTTAAGAATTTATGAATATATAGTAAATATATTGTAATATGTAGTAAGTACATTATAAATGGGAAGGCTATTTTATAAAATGTCTGATTTATGTCAAATGAAGCCTTTTCTTTTTCAAGACATAATAAAGAATAGTTCTACCATCTCAGAACATCATTTAATGACCACATCATCTTTAGGTAAGAAAAGTTTACCCATAAAGACAAGGGAGAGAGTACATTCTCAAACTGTGTTCCATGGCTTATTGATGCAGTGTGGTATGCTGTAATGAGCACATACTTTGATATATAAATGAAGATTCTGGCTCAAGTCTTAAATCTGCCATGTCCAATTGTATAACCCTAGGCAAGTCATTTTAAAGTCTATGAATTTTAGCTTCCTTATTTGTAAAATGAAGATTATATAACCTATCTCAAAGGCTTATTGTGGGGGGAAAGAGGAGAATGTTTAATGTATAATGTTAATAGATCTACATGTACTTTGTCATTCATGCAAGTTTCAAAACTTTCTTGAATCTATTTATACTTATGGACATACTACCTCTTGGATAATGAGTATTATATATCCATTCTGTTTTGGATAAAGATGCATGTCCTGCTCTTTATATGAAATTATCCTATAATTTTGGGGTTTGGTAGAAAACTCTGTGCTTGACTTATCTATTTATTTTGATGCCCTAACTAATATTTTTGTGACTCAACTTGTAGTTAAGAAACTTAGTGAGCAATTAGTATGTGTCAAAACTGTTTCAGAATTAGGAATACACAAATAAAATCCCTGTTTCTATCCACAAGGGACGCACAATCTGGGTATGAAGAAATAAAAATTAACTTCAATATATGAGTTTTGTCCTAGTGGTGAATACAGTTCCTTAGGAACACAGAGGGAATTCTTGACTCTGTCAGGATCAGTTAAATAAAGCTTCACCCAAGTGATGTGGTCTGAACTTTGAAGAACAAGTTTTTGCCACCAGGAGAACGAACAGAAAATGGAAAATCTTATGTTAAATGAGAACACTGTTGAAAAAGGTAAAATGAATTTAAAGTTGAAATTCTAACAAAATAGGAAACCCCTAAAAGATGCTATGCATTTATTCAATGCTTCATTCCTAAGACAAAATTCAATCGAATGAAACTGCCTGGGAAAAGTACTATGATTGGTGGTTTGAAAACCTAACTTCCACTTAGTGGTAGAAAGGGTAAAACATACAGTCCTGGACTGGTACAGAAGAATGATAATACAAATCATATTAATGAAATAAAAAGCATGTTTTACAAAGATGGGCTCATATGTTTTACATTTTCTTTTAATTCTCTTCTTTGATGTGCATTCATTTAGTACCTATGTGTTTCACAAACATATTTTAACAATTACAAGATTTTTTCACACTTAGTTTTGCTTTTACTTAAAAAATAAGCAAACAAAAAGCTCTTTATGATTAAAGAAATATATTTTAAACTTCTGCATGTAAAAGGTTAATGGGAATAATCACAAATTTAAGCCAACTTGCCATCTTCATGTCGGAGATACTGGTTTCCGCCTCTGTCTCTAGCTAAGGACCATGCCTCGCCTTCATCACTCTCACAGAACTCTACCATGCTGTTCTTATCCAGCTGCACCCATGTCCCTTCAGAATTGGTTACCTAGTACATAACAAAAAGCATGATTGATTGGCTTGATTCTTTTAGGGCATTCAGATTGAAAACCAGCAAAAAGTTTAAGAGTTTGATTAGTGTAATTATTCCAATAAATAGCTACCATGAAATTAGTTTCTGAAATTAAGACCACAGCCTGAGGTAAGACAGAAATCAACAAAATATTCTGTAAAATACTTCCTTATGACCTCAGTTAAAATAATAATTTTTAAGGCACACAGATAATTCCTAAATAATTTTAAACATTACCTCAAAACACATGGCTCTTTTTTTTTTTTTTCACCTAAAATGTCACAGCACAACATATTCTATTTTTTAGCTTGGCAGTGCTTATAATGCACCTTGAAAATGACCCTGACACTGAGAAATAGCATGACACACTACATCTTCAAGCTCATCAGCTGAGGCATATGCCACAGTTGACAAAAGAGTAATTTTATTTGCTCAGGACTTCAGTGAGACACGTGAATGGGGACAAAGAAAGGAAACCTTTTGTATACATCACATCTCCATACCAATCCACAGCAAATATTTTAAAGTGCTGTTAATCCATGACAGTGTAGTACATTTGTAATAATAAAAAGATATATGCAAATACCAAACATGTATATATATACAACACACAATCATTTTGTTAATATATTGTTTTCAAGAGGATTCTTATGAGAATAAAATTAGTAGAAAAGAAGCACAGAAAAATTACATTAGTATTTTCAATACAGATAAAGAACATGAACATTTAAAAACCTGGGATAGAAATGGCAACCTCTGGAAGAAAAGAGATAGCATTTGGTAGTATTATATTAAAAATGAATATCTTAGAAGTCATGAAGCTACAAGAATCCATACCTCTCCCACTGCTTTGACTTTGTTTCCCAGAACTAACATTCCAATTGGGATACCTCTAAGGTTAGGGCAGCTTCTGATGTTGTGTCCGGAGGGTCCCGTCTTCACTACCTTATACATGCCTGGCCCTCCTCGCAAGAATGGCATATCCTGTTCTTGCATTGTTGCTTCCTGTGGGCAGCAGGAGTTTATGTCTTTGAAAAAGTCATCAGTATTAGTTTTAGGTTCCTGAAAATTTGAATAGGAAAAAAATAAATAAACAAAATACAATCTATTATCACTTTCAACATATTCCTATTAATAGCTTTAACAATTCTATAATACTGTCAATTAAAAAAGAAAATACATATCCAAAGATAAAGTATTAGTCAATACTGTAATTAAAGAATTGTTCAGTTTTTCAATGCTGAATAATAATTTAAATAAAGTTGAAGAGAAGAAAATACAGCAGGAGAGCAACTGACTCCCGGGCGTTTGCCCACCACAATTTGAGAAATACAGTAGTACTTGAGTATTCTTTTATCTTTTAATGAAATATTTAACAGTAGGAAAAACCAAAATAATTTACTATGTGAACCACAACTGAATAATTTTGAATCATTAGTACTGCATTACTGTATGTTGGTATGTGTTAAAAAGCCTAAATCTTCATTTCCTTCTACTTTTGTCTGTAATAATTATTTATAAATAGAGAAAATAGGTGCGAAAACTCTGGAGAGTTATCTATGAACAGAGATAACGATGAAGAAATGTGCCTAAAATAAAGTATATCTTAATATTTACTAGTTATGAATGAAATAAGGAGGTTTATAAGATTTTAACAACTCCCACTTTCTTAATATAGTACAAATAAAAATGTCTTGCTAGATTCATCAGGCCATTACTAAACAACGATATATTAATGCTATTAGTAGAAAAAGATAATTATAGTTTTAGTAGAGAGGAGAGATTACCATTAACGATGCATTTTTACATAAATATAACGTGTTTGGATATAAAAGTTACTTCTAACATGAAAGAATAGAACATGCCCTAAATTCTCTGTTGAATCTGAATGCTGTGATGAAATTGTTCCTTATGTGAATGCAATGGGGAAAAATAATGACCTATTTGCTCTTCTTCCCAACTAAATGTGAATGAAAGTTCCACACTGGGGGATCTTCCATTGTCATTATTATTCCTTTAAAACCAACTTAACCCGTACTTTTAAATACAGTAATATACACAGTACAAATTGTTTTATATTCAAATAAAGTAAAAGATGATCATAATGGGATATGTTCAAATATTGTTAAAATTAATATTTAGTAATATTAGAATCAAAAAATGAAAAAAACACTAACATGTTATGCAAGATAAAACATTACTGAATAGCTCTATCCCTAAAAAGAATCACATATTAAGGGGTATGTAACCATGCCCATTACATAGTAGAAAATTAAAAATAAAATCCTGAGGTTAAGAAAATGTGGATTCTGTGTACCTGTGACTCTAAGTCAATATATGTATGACTGGCCAGGGAAAATTTTAGACCCACTATCAACCTTCACATAACATTTTGTAAATTTCATCATGGTAATCAATAATCATTAATTTTTACTTATACAAATATGTACTATGGACAATATTTATTTACATTTACTGCAATTATCATACCATATTATCCAAAATTCTTTAGCTATATATCAGCAATTTAATATTAATGAGAATTTTAAATACTTTGAAAATTTAGACTTGATTTACAATCTAAAATAACCTTCAAGTATCCATTTTTATATACCCACGCATGTATACCTATAAAAACTTATACATGTGCACAATTACATAAATACAAAGAGCACTCAAAATAAAAATGGAGAGTAGGGTCTGAACTTTAAATTGTGCTATTATACTCACAAGGGTTTCAGTAAATATTTTTAAATGTCTAGTTGTCAATGATCAATTTTAGTCAATTCATCATGCTATTTCATAGTTGGAAGAGGTAAGTTAGTCCTTATTGCAACTGATATTTTAAAAAGTAACATGGTATGACATCAAAAATCACAAATAAATATTAATAGATTTAGAGAAAAAATATTCTCACTGGTTTTTAATAACACATCTAGAGCTTTTAATCAAGTATAATACTATTTCCAACTTTTGATCATTCGGGGTAACACTGAGAGATAAGTCTTGGCAAAAACTAATAACTGCAAGTTAGTCACTGAAAGGCAATATACAAAAACTTTATTAAAATATTTAATACTTTATTGAAGAGCTAAATAAACTATATAATATAAAACAAAGTCTATCCTATTTTTTATACTAAATAGTATAGAAAGAACTGATAGACATAAAACCAGAACTGTGCCTTTCATTCTCAAGCAACCCTAGAATATATGTTTTATTCAATACAGAAATGTAATGCCTGGCACCAGCATATGGAAGTGATGAACTGTAATGTTATTTTTTTCTCCCTGCATTCCCTCTCCATTCTGAGATTAACACTCAAAAGGGTACTGTGGAAGAATGGGAAAAAAACAAAATTGCCATAGGATTGGGACTCTCCCATCTAAATAAGCTAGTTCTGAAAAGGCTAGACTTGGATGTAATTGATGGAGAAGATAATCATAAAATTAAACATATTAAATTTGAAGTCACATAAAAGTTTAACTAATAATACATTCTTTGGCAGAAATAGATAGAAAAGGACTGATTCCAGGGGAAACGCAACTGCAGCACTTTGTATAGACAGATCTTTTTGGGTAAAAAATTTATTAATCTTAAGCAAAGGCTTCAAAGGATATAATGTAAATCTGTTATACATGCTGAAATACCTGAATAATGTATGTTCCTTACAGTAACTCACCTGGGGGAAAAAAGCTTTGGAAGTCCATGAAAATACGTCCAAATCCCTGACTCCTTGGCTAGCATTAAAGATATTCTGAGCGACAAAGTTTAAGAAAGAAAAAATATCAACAAAGAAAGGGAACAGGATATCAGGTGCAGAAGATGCGTTCATAGTAACAACATAGTTCTGTACTCTAGCACCAGCACTGAAATACCATTTTACTAAAGGGAAACTGAAGCCACCTGAGTAAACCACATATCAAGGAAATTCTGATAAGTAAGCTTTACCAAAAGCTCTCCATGGATATAGTGTGTCATGCCATTTGCTAAACTTAAGAGCCAGATATTTATTTAAAGCTTAAGACAGTCAATTCAAGAAGGAAACCTTAAAACTTCTTTAACTGACAACGTATCTGTTCTAATACAACCCAGAATTGTTTATGACCGAAAACAAATAGAAAAAAAATATAATATAGATTGTATGCTCAACTATTATCATGAATAATAGTGGCATGTAGCATATGTGAAATAGTTATCACTTTTTAAAGTATAAAAAGAAAAGCTCAAAAAGTCAAAAAAAATCTAAATCATTTTTCAGTTTTCCTCTAGTCTATAAATGGAAAAAAAATCATTTGGAAATGTTACTGAAAGCTGTTTGCAATCTGTTCAGAAAGCATACAGAAAAACACATAATCTGAATCTTTTATCAAAAGACAGGCCTAGTTTTCTCCATTTCAAAGTTCAGGAAATGCACAGAGCATTTAGTCACTATGTTACATGTTAAAGACTAAAATTTCTTTGTTAAGTAACAACAAATTCATAGTAGCATGGTCCCCCAAAAATCAACACTTTCACAAAACTGTTATAATGAAAAGTTAAATGATACACATTCTACACAGATATATCATGCTATTGAATACATTTATCTGATCTGAAATTAAAATCTTTCCAGTGAGTAGCAATTACACAATTTGCTGCTCATGTGATAAGTGGTTATTTTGGACAAAAAAGAGGATATTCAGAGTACAGAGTGCTAACCATTACACTATGAAAGAGGATATTCAAATTGTTAATAGATTCTGTTATCATTCAATACTTCAACACAAAGGAAACAACACAGTTCCCAACTAATTATAAGCCATTTTAGATAATGAGAATTTAATATTCTCTCGTTCTGTAGTATCCTTATGCATATATGTGTATAGATAGATGTAGACACACACCCATATACATACACATATGCTAATTCATAAATTTAAGACATATAAGAGCCAGAAAAAATGCGTTTCCAATAATATGCCTACAAATAAATGTAAAACCAAACCAAACCTCAAACTAAACCTCCCTCCACACTTAAAAATGGAGAGAGCATAGGGTTCTTTCTCTTTAGGTGAAGTGGAAACATGTTGCAAAGCATTTTGAAATGCTATGTTGTGAAGAAAAAGATATCCTTACTGGTTCATCAATGTATGTAAGGGTTTGTGAAATATTTGCCCAATGGTCTTTCTCCTTCACAGAGAATGGTGGTGCAGATCTTTCACATAAAATACCAAGATATTTTAAATAATTTTTTATTTTTTAGCATAATTTTTATTAAAAGCAATGTGAAAAAAATGCAGATAAAGTTAATGATAAGGAAGCAATGTACTAACTGACAATATTTAAGGCCTGTACTTGTCTTTGATTTCAATGTGCAAATTTAAGTGCTTCCAAAGTCTGAGTACATGAGTTAACATGCATAAGGGTACTTTGAAGTGATATATTTGCTAACCATGGTAATACACTGCAATTAAATCCATTTGTACATGTTAATTATAAGTGTATCCAAATTTGATACTTTTTGGCTTTTGTTCTGAATTTACAGAAAATTCTTAGTCTGCATTGGTTTACTATAAGATTATTTTCAAAATGTGTAACCTAATAAAATTACATTTATCAGGAATCAAAAAAAAATGTACCAAATAGGGAGCTGGAGTTTAAAAATAAAATATATTTACAGTTTTCTTTTGAAAATTTAGGAATGTTTAGTTCAAGATATGAACATGCATAAAAATATTAATTTCTCCAAAATCTTAATTTATCACTAGTAAAATATATAAATTAGCTTTCATACTGTATAATTTCACAGATTAATAACACCCTATATGTATATGTATGTGTGTATACACACGTACATATACATATACACACATATCTACAAAAATCTAAATCATTTCATTCTCAAAGATTATGTTAAAGGCAAAAATATTCTATCAGGAAAATTAGGAAATTAAAGCATATTAAAAACCTAACTAAACTAGTAAACATCAAACTGCAACTCTAAGCTGATAATCTTTCAAGACACAGGAGAGAATAAGTCAATACTTTTCATGGTGAAAGTACATGACCAAACATGCCAA